ATATATATATATATATATATAAAATACATACACACATATATATATATACATATATATATATATATATGTGTGTATATACAAATATATATATCTACGATCTTTCACCAAATGTGTGAAAGTAACACGCAACCATTATATTATAATATTACATAATTATAATGAAGTGTAATACAGTAGCATTTTCCATTTTTAATTATGGAAAAATAGACAAATTTTGGGATTTGATGGATGTTTGCACAATAATTAGGAATTATCTGATAATTTTTAGTAGAGAGATCATGTAAAATATGTTATTGTGTCTGTGATTCCATCTTTATTTATAAATAATATGCAGTATGTACTTGTGAATAGAGAGCAACGGGCGAAAAAGTTTCATTTGCAATTATGCAAATGGACGAAACTTTCACTAGCGATCGTAACAGGATAGCACGTAAGACGATGCTTCTTCTCAACGTGTCTCCTACTCGGCCATAAAATCTAGTGCAATATTAGTATCGTATGTTAAGTGTACCATCGGCAATGTATGATGAAACAACTTCGATTAGAAGTAAGATCAATTGCACCGACAACTTTAGCGCTATATTTATATTTGTGTAAAGCTAATAATTTCGGTTAATTGATCGAAGAAACGCAGCTCTAGCTATAGAAAAATATTGAAAAAAAATTTAGATAATTACGGTTAATGTTAAATGACGTCGATGCGTTATAAGTTAATTATGATTTGACAATTAATCAAATGTGTGATACATCGAGGACGCAATGCGACTACGTATCACATTTTTAATAATCTATTCCGAAGATGAAAACACTGTAAGATAAGTTTATTGCTCGAATAGAATTTTGTAATTGAACTTTAATAAAACATATTTATCCAGATATTACTATACAATTTTCATATTCTGCTGTCATCTATTTTATATACTATAGCATGTCGATTTATGGCGCGTCTTTCTGATTATATGAATCAATTCCTGTAATTTATATTTACAGTGCCTAATAAAGATCTTATTAACTTATTGTTAGTTAGAATTTTTTTATTTAAGAATCTCGTCGCTGTAAATGAAAGATAGGAATTGACGTAATATGCATAATACAGAAGTTAATTAATTCTATGTAAATGCATCGATCGATGATACTTATTTTTTTTATATTGATTGTTGGAGATATCCGGTTCCACAATGGTTTTGGTCCCAGTAATAAACATATATCGTATGTAAGTATATATTTTATAAAAATATAATGAATTGTAACGTCTCTTCAAAGTTTTCTCGATCACAGAATTGTGCACGTTTTCGACTGAAATACAAAGAAAAATATTTAATAATATAATTGTATTATAAAATAATAAAATTATATCCTCTATGAAATATTTTTTATGTCGTTTCAGCTGTACCTTAGCTTTCGGATTGCTTTTTTCTGCGCTGCTTGATTTCTTCGTCCCATTTTGTTCTTCTTGTTGCCATTTTCCTTTGAATAATCTCGCCATTTTAGCTAAAAGACAATAACCAATTATGCAATTTGCAAATTCAAATATTCTAAAATTAATAACTGATTGAAAAATATAAACTCTCTTTCGCAAAGTGAACTTTTTTAATTTAAATATATTACTTTCATTTCATTATAATTAATACTTCTTTTTTTGGAGTGAGATTTCACTTTTTTAGAAGAGAGAGATTCACTCTAAGCAAAGGAAAGAAATCTTACCCCAAAGAGTGAAATATTATTCCAAAAAAGTAAAAATTTGCTACTTTTGTTTAGGAGTGATATTTTCATTCTTTTTTAATAATAACAGTATTTTTTTTTAGAATGAGAATTTGTTCTAAAAAATTTGCAAACTAGATATCATTAAATTAAATTAACAAGCAATTTAATAATATATTTTTAATTTATAATATATTATACAGGCCTGCATGGTTTTGTTGATTAAGATTTAACAATGTGTGTGTTTTCTTACGTAATTTTTTGCGCTGAACCTGAACCATCTCAAAGCAATTTTTTCTTTCAGAGATATATCAATTCGAAGGTGACTAAGATTTATGAACTGTTTTTCTTTTTTAATTTAATTTTAAATTAAATTAAATTAAATTTTAAATATGATTAAAAATGGCTTTTTTGACAGTTTCAGATTAAGATATCTCTAAATCTTGACGTGATAGAGCAATTCTGCAAAACCCCGGATTCGGTGCAAAAAATTAAAAACATTAAAAACATTATTAAATCCCAATTAACTTTTAACACCTCCAATTTTACAGGCCTGCATTATTTATACTAATTTAAATCGCATTTTAAATCGCAATAAAGTATTTATTGCAAGAAATATTATAATATCTCAGAGAGGATTCAGAAACTTTTCTACATTCGATGGGCGGTTTTAATTGATTACCAAGACGTGTAGTTTTATTTAATTCTTGAAAAGAAGAAACATGCCTGTTTTACCTGTTCGCGGCGCTGGAGATTGTATAACATCAGTATCGTCCTGTGTGTCCATCTCTGCTTTCTCTGGTTCTTCAGTATTTTCATCTTCCTCGACTTTTTCTATCGAATTCTCGATAGCTTCCACAGTTTTTTGCGAAATTGTTGATAATGATTTTCTAGCTATTTTTGCACTTGAATTTTCTTTGTTACTCATCTTCATCTCTTCATCATCTTTTTCTTTTTCATCTTCTTCGTTCTCCTTTGAAGATTCTTTTTCGCTTGCATCTTCGATACTTGCAGATTTTAGTCTCGGTGGTTTTGGTGGTGGTATAGGATTCGTCGTCATTTTCTGTTCCTTTTCTTCTTCTATCCTCGAGACTTCTGTTTCTGTACACTCCTCAACATCTGGTACTACTATCGCTGATGTTTCCATATTTTTATTATTTTCTTGATTTTCATTATTTTCATTAATATCTTTACTTTCATCATTTTCTTTGCTTTCAATATTTTCATTATTATGATCCTCATCGTCGATTTGATCTTTTTCTTGAGAGCTTTCTGATGGAATAACTTCCAAAGATGGATTTGTAATTTTTTCGTCTTCTGCTGAAGGTGAAATTTCTTTGTTATTAACAATATCTGTATTTTCTTTTGGCGAATCTTCCTTTGGCGAAGAATTTGTTCGAATGTCATTATTATTGGATGCTTCACTAATTTTATCAGAATGATGTGAATCATCCTTTTCGTCTGTCAATTTTTCCATATTGTCCATTCGATGTTCATTCTGCATATTTATAGGAAGTTTTAAAGGAGGCAGAGAA